AGGTTAGAGAGGCTGAGTTGCACCTGGGAGTTCTTCAGGAAAGGCTTCAAACATCGCAGAGCAAAGTAACTAGGGCTGAAGAAGAGCGCGAACAAGCGTCTTCGCAATTCGAAAATGCAAATCACGCCCACGAAGAATTAATTAAACAAGTCAGAATCGAAGAAGAAAAATTGACTCCTCTGGAGGAAGCGAAGGACGCAGCAAAGGCACAAATGGATCACATCAAAAAGGAGCTTCAGACCTTAATAGTATGTGGCTTCAATCTCCGATTGTTATGTTAGTTATTAATAGTTCAAAATGATAGGGGTCAGAACGTGAAACAAGGAGCAATGTTCTCGGTGCAACCAAAAAGATCACCGAGACAGAGCAAGAAATCATGGGTGAAGAGAACAGACTAGAAGGAGTTAATGGCGGAAGCAATATTCAACTGATGGAGGACCAGCGAAGCGCTGAAAATGATGTTATTAGGATTAAGGCGGACATGGAAAGCCACGATCAAAAGAACAAGGACGACAACTCAAAACTCCAGGACGCAAAGCAGGAATTCGACCAAGCTATAAAACTCGTCGAAGCAAAAAAGGCTGAGATCGAAAACAAACAGATAGCTCTCAGGCAAATTAGTGCTGCGGAGGGCGATTTCATAAAGGTATTTGGCGTAAAGTTACGCCCTCTTCTTGATGCCATCCAAAGTGAACGTAGTTTTCGTGTCAAACCTGTCGGTCCCGTGGGAATGTATGTCACGCTTCGAGAGCCGAAATGGTGGAGCATCATCGAACGGATCCTGGGTAATAATCTATTGACTTTTGTCGTCACTTGTTATGAAGACAGTGAAATTCTAAAGCGATTGATGAAATCCATCAACTGGTACGGACACACCTTATCTTTATTACTCTAAAACACCACTAACATCTTATAAGTGAATATCCATTAAGCATTACCCAGGCGAAGCCGTTGAATCTTGTTGAGCCTGATCCTCGATTCAAGACTATTTACAGGATCTTAGAGGTATTTAGCCCCTCATCCAGGAGACACCTACTCCGGTCTCTGACCTTCCCTAGATCAGTGACGAAAATGTAAAGAGGCAACTCGTTATCGGCAACTCCATCGAGCAAGTTATCTTGGTTGAAGATTTGGAAGATGCAAATCGTATCATGGAACGAAGGACTCAAAATGACCATATAAATTCATGTTATGCTCTTAACTTGAAGCGTCAAGGGTGGGGATTGAAGGTTGGTGGAAAGTAAGTAGATTCCAATATAAAGTATGAATTTATATTAATTTGTTCACGTCTAGCAACGGAGCCAGTGGCGTGACTCCTGTCATTGCTTTCACAAGCCAGGCTCGTATGAGGACAGATGTTGGGGCACAAACAAAGTAACATCCATTTCCACAATACATCCTGTCATTGATCAGCAATTCGCTAATCATTGGGGGAAAAAAGATTTATCGAACAAGATATACAACTCCTTAAGAATGAGCTTGCTGACCTCGAGCAACATGCTCACGACAAAAAACGTGTTAGTGATGGGCTATATTACGGTATTCAAGGTTATAATGTATGTACTGAACCCTCGCTATGATTAGGAAGGGCTATCTTAACATTACCTTAGCGTCGTAAGAGGGATCTAGAATTAAAGCTTCACCGGGCCGAGGATAAGGTTGAGGAGTGCAAATCTAGGTTGGAGGAGGCTGCGCAGGATGGTAAACTTGGCGCTTTACAAGAGAAGCTAAAGGCAGGTTATCCAATTGTCATATAAAGTGCCAACTGCTTACATTTCCTACAGGTTTTTAAAGAGAGAGAACGCATGGCTACTGCCTCGTTCGAAGAGCTGGTCGTCAAAAAGGATGAGTTTAGTGCTGAAGCTGATAAACTATATGCACAACTAAAATCGACCGAGCAAGACCTAGCCCTTGCTCAACAACAGGTCGAAGATCTGAAGGTAATTGTGCCTTCTTTTTCGTTGTAAAAATCTCTAACATCTATCAAGGCTATGCTTTACAAGTCTGACCGAAAACGGTCACAATGTCTTGCAAACAAGAATCATTGGTATGAACAACTTGAGAAGTACCAACAAGAAACAGCCCGCCTAGAGGACCAAATCGCAACGCAGCAGGCAACAGTTGACAACTATACCGGAATGGCTTCACGGATTTGTGAACGGGTTGAAATACCTAATGACGAGACATGCGATGCTCTGGAAAGGAAGTTAGCCGCACTCCATGAAGAGCTGAAACGCGCTGAGGCTTCGTACATCATCCTTTCACTTTGACTTATCTGAGCCATCTAATGTTATTATAGGCTTGGTGGAACTGCGGAATATATCCATGAAAAGTCTGCTGAAGCAGCACAAACCTATATTGATGCGAGGAATCAGAGAAATGAATTTCAAAGACTTCTTGGCGTGGGTCTATAATCAATAAACGTTTACTTGGTACATTTTTAACGCATTTATGTGCTTAGACGCAAACTAGAGTTTACATGGAACGTATACGCCGCTGGAAGGAATTCCAACGCTACATCAGTGCGCGGGCACGGGCTCAGTTTAACTGGATGATGAGTGAACGCGCATTCAAGGGGCGCTTGCGCCTTGAACACACACGAAAACCTCCCGAACTTATCCTCGAAGTTCAACCTGGCCAGGAAGAAACCGGCAACCGTGGACCAAAGACCCTTTCTGGCGGTGAAAAGTCTTTTTCGACAATTTGTCTACTTCTTTCTTTGTGGGAGGCAATGGGCTCTCCAATTAGATGTCTTGATGAATTTGATGTCTTTATGGACGCGGTCAACCGTACTATCAGTGTGAATATGATGGTATGTTTCCTCTGACGTTGTATTCTGTTTTGAGCTAATGCTGTTTATAGATAAAAACTGCTGAACGTTCGATTGGCAAACAATTTATATTGATCACACCTCAGGCGATGAATAGTACGGCCGCATCAAACCAAGTCAAGATCATCCGGTAAGTAAACACCGATGGAGTCGCATCCCCCCAAGTAAAATGGTATTAATAGTTCCCAAAATAGAATGGCCGATCCCGAGAGAAATAATAATAACCAAACACGAATTGCTTGAATTCAGCAGTCTCTCGGCTACTGTAATGAATTATACTTTTTCCTTTGGAGTTTGAAATCTTGTGATCATGTGGCGTTTTTGAATGGCGGATACTATTTTAATGCCCTCCTCAGAAACATCAGCGGGTTATCCTCTCGCCGCTTATTATTACCATGGGCTTTGAAGATGATGAATATAAATATTTGGCATTATCTTACAAATACCTTAATATAACCGGGCCCATGAATAATCTTTTGTGCAAGGCCATGGCCGCACTAAACCAATTAATCAAAGGTTTAGAGTACTGGAGATATCTAGGACATTTTTTTATATGCCGTAATGAAGATGAAGCTCTTGCTACTGAGGAAATCGAACAAGTTAAAACGATCGGCGCTTAAGTAAACATCTTCAACAATCTCTGTCGAGTGATTTGCCATGATTCCAAGTGGCAGTTCAAGCAGGACATCAACCGAATCCCAAGCTTTCGATTGCCAGAGCTTAGATCTTGAATACCCTCTTTCCAATAATAATGCGTGGTCCGATTGTATTAATTGTTTTTCTCTGATCAAGATACAACCAATTTCAGCTGACACGCCATACATATCACGATATATATTATTTCATTATGAAACTACGGGCACACGTGTACAACATGTGTTTAGATCGAGCCCAAGTAGAATCAAGACTTAGTTTGAATGAATTGCTAACGTTCCCATATCTAGATCCCAAGAAGTGAAGTCATATTCCCAGATCCTCCTACAGGTGGTTCCGCGGACTTTCCTTTTGAGAAGCTATAGGACATCGGTGATACGTATCTCTAGCTCAAGGGTGCGAACCTAGTGCGCAGTCAAGGGTCTAGTTAGCCAACGAGTTAGTTACTTGGAAGATCTAGGCGCATTTCCTCGCTCATCATGCAAGACAACTGTACTGCATCATCATGAGAATTTTTTTTGATAGAAAACGGAATTATCGATACCATACAAGAAACCAATGATAGCGGTAGATGTAACTGACCAGTGTGGTATCAGGTGGCAGTAAAATCCATTTATTAATTCATGACTGGGCGAATAACTAACGCACTAAACTCCCATCTCAGTTTCTGGAGGGAGGTGAAGAGAATTCCATCGATATCGATCAGTGTACGTGTGTCAATAGTCATGATCCTGCAACAAAGCCTTTTTGGACAGAGAGTCTAGCCCCGGCAACTAAAAGAGAGAAAAAGAAAAACTGACAAAAGGATACTTGGCCGTCAGATGAGCTTCAAGCGCATTTTGACGCGCGTCTCTGGGAAGTGAGTGTATGGGATGTGTGTATGTATAGTGGGTGGGAAGGATGTTGAAACGAAACATCGAGACGGTTTTTATTGCTTCCGCCCGCTCATCCCCACGAGGAAAACACGTGGTGCAGTGTGGGGCGGAAACAGCAAGAAAAAGTTTTCCCCGCCAAAGGACATACCCCATCTCCAATATATCGCACATAGGCAAACCAGGATTCTTTCTTTTCCTTTCTCAGATTTAGATATATACCTATCATCCATAAGTCCCCAGTCGATGTGAAACCTCAGGTTTGTCTTATATGGTCATCGTTATCGCCACGTGGGGGGAGACAGCTGCAGTGCAGCCCTTCTTCAAACCTTACATACATACCGTGTTGATAACAGTGGATAATGCGTTGACCGTTCGGCAGAGAGGCCACTTCCGGAAAAACCACAATGCTGCACGTAGCTAACTATTGGGATTGGAATGTCGACTGGATTCCAACCACGTTTTGATGCTTCGCAAGCCCAATCCGAACCAGCACCATACCCCCCGGGGGTCGGGGATTCATATAGAGACTTCACCCGTCTCTTGAATGATAAAGTATAGGGAGAGTATAGTATTTTGGAGTACTTTACATACTTCATGCATGAATTTAGTGATCTGGATCTCACAGGAAAGGGCCGGGTAACCTAGAAAACAATTGGACAATTTTCCATGTTCTAGCTATTATTATTTTCATGCATGATAAGAAACGGCGTGTTCCCCCCAATCGGTAAAATTAAGCTATAGGGGACCGCAGGACTAACCTGGGTTTCAGAATATGTCATGTAGGCTAAGTATTGATAAACCTTCCTTATTCTATGGTATGTGCGTCAATGAATCGAATTTACAACGTTTATTCGAGGATGATATGGCTTCGCGACCTTATTTGCATGCAAACAGCTGTAGTCCAGATATACTCTATTTAGTGATCAAATAATCATAATAATAGGCTTAAGACAAGGAATATATAGATGGAAGAAAAAATAAGTCGCAATAACCAAGTGTTGCTGTGAAACCGACACAGATTGAATCGACTAGGTCAAAGCCAATGATAAGTGCAGGAATTTGATCATGCATGAACTTCCGCTTTGCAGATATTATAAGGTTCATCTCAACAACGACAACCATAATGTATGGAGCTTTAAATCTATCTAATACGTTAGGAGTTATTGTAAGAGCCCTAAATGCAGAGCACTGGTACTAAACCAGTGCTCTGTTAAATTATCTTTGGAAAAAGTTGGATCTTATAGATGAACCACCCCAGCGCATCATATAATCTCACTCGGTTGCTCCAAAACGGAAATTTACTAGAAATATGTTCAGAAAATGCCTACAGTTTAATAGATGGTAAACTTATCTTACTTTAAAGTATTTAAAAAGTTCTGCGGGATTATTTGGCAATATTTTGAGAGATGGACATATGCTGTGCCCTGATGAATCTTTGTATGACGTCGACTTATTGGTGGACGATTCTTTTGAAGCCAGGCGGGGCTGTTTGTGCCCACTGTAAGCTTAGATAATACAAAACCGTTACAGCTAAAGACAGCCCCTTACTTACCCCATTATTTCCCTTGCAAGTTTATGTTGTATGAACCGTCATCATGCCCAGATTTAATAAGCTGCATTTGTCGAACATCTCCGAGCGACATTAAGTAAATGTGATGAATATTCCCGCAGCCTTCACTTAAACCCTCGCAGCACATGATGTAGAATAAAGAAATTTTTTGATGCGGGAGTTGGCACCGGGGAGGATTATTTGCTTGACCACGGCGAGAGCGTCTCTATCCGGAAGCCGCCCAGAAACCTATTCTTCAAGAGGAAAGGTGTCAGGAACGGGAACGTGGGAGCCAGGAGAACCACGTTGCGAGGAAGCGTGGCATGCGCGTGCTAATTTTGCCATGCTTTTCTGCTTATTTTACGCGCTTGAATAACAGCAGGGATAACTTTGGTGCCGCTTATCACACCTAATCCGTCCAAATATTATTACTGCAAGCCCAGGATCGTCCAAGATCATCCCAATTTCGATTCATTGTTTCCTGATAGACTCCATAAGAGCCTGCGATCTATAGAAAACCAGCTGCTGGGGTTTACGGAATTGTCTGTCAGCATGCATCGCCTCTAACCAGAAACAAAACAATGGCATCTGTAGTCATTAGTTGTATCATTAGTAAACCAGCAAACCACGCTTGTGGGATTGCTATTTACCAACGATAATTTTTTGCTTAGGGTTGAGAGCAGCCAAAATCTTTAAAGTTTGCAAAGACATTACCAGGCCTAGTACCGGTTTATCCAAATGGAAGTGCTGAGGTAGGGCAAACGCAGCCATCAAGATTTTTATAGCATACAAACATCGCATGTTAAAGGATTGAAGAGCCTATAGCAGGCCTAAAGCCTTCCTTACCTTTACCATGGTTTCCTCGGCACTATTTGCCGCCTTCGCAGAACCCTCTCTAACCACCTTTTCCAAAAACCCATCTCCTTCCGTCTCCGTAATTCTCGTGTATTCGCTCCTGATATTCTCTAAACTCTCGTTGATACAATCGGCCACCCTCTCCTTGAAAACTTTCTTTGTCAAACCCTCAAACTCACTTGCCACGTGTTCAAAATCTTCCCGGCCTTGTATATGCGCATATATTTCTATCAAATTCGATAGGCCAGGCCGTTTTTGTGGGTCATAAGTGATCCCGTGGCTTTCGAGAGAATCCGTTAGAGCTACTTTAATCTTTCCCTGCACTGAAGTGGGACTATCCGTAAGTAGGATCCGGGACTTCGGATCCGGGGCTGACTTTGACATCTTTTGGGTTGGGTCGCTTAAGGACATGACACGTTTGGCAGGAGCTGACACAAATCAATATTCTTGCCTGAAGAAATCAGAGGATAAATTGCTTACACAGCAGCGTTGCCGGTAGCGGAAAGACTTTGCCATAGGTATGGTGAAAGGCACCGACGATATCTCTTGTCAGCTCTAGGTGTTGCGCTTGGTCTTCACCTACTGGAACATGGGTGGCTCTATCAAACATCAGCTAATTTAAAAAGGTAAATGAAGAACGTAGTAAGAAGCAAGGAGAGGCTTCGAACCTATGCACCAGTATATCAGCTGCTTGAAGCACGGGATAAGAGAACAATCCCAGTTTAAGTGCTGCTGTAGATTTATCTTCCAGAGAATGATGTTCTTCTGAAATACCTAATTTGCTCTATTGCCCCACCGCATTAGAAAACTACCCCGCTCTGATATGAAAGAAATCAAACCTTCCACTGAGTCATCCGTGAAAGTCGTCCTGTACTTGCTATGCAGCTTAAAATCCACATCAATTCTGAATGAGCCGGAACCCGGCTTTGCTCAAATATGATGCACCTATCAGGGCTCAGTCCAATCGCCAGCAGTGTTGTGAGCATTTCCTTCTTCCATTGTCGAAGATTGGATGCCTTTTGAGGTGACGTAATTGCATGGAGATCGACGATGCAAAAAATTAATTTTGTTGATTCTGTTTCTGTATTTTGGAAGTTTGCCCATTGTTTGAGAGCACCGAGATAATTTCCCAGATGGGGGACGCCAGTGGGTTGGATGCCAGAGAAGATAGTTTTAGGTGTAAACGATGCAGACGTGTGGAGGCCTCGAGGTAGACAACGTGGAGAATGCCACTGGGATTGCAGGTTCCGGTGCGGAAGCGAATCTAAAACTCTAGAGCCACGTTTCATGTTTGTTTACTTCTGGGGTCGTTGGAGTGAGGGCACAAAAAATGTGGGTTGAGGCTCAAAAAAACGGCGCTCGGATCACCAACAGCCCTGCGCACAAATGGGGGGACAAGTCCAAAACCCGTCTTGGCTTAAATGCTATGTAGTAGGTACATGTATGTATCTAACCAATCTCAACTTGCGCCGACACGCTTCCCACTCGGTACCCTACCGGGTCTATAAATCTTACATGAGGCGTTAATTTATTCTAAATTTACTACCGGTTTGACTATTGATTGCTCTTACGAACGTCAGATTTCCTATATACAGAGATAAGAATATCATACATAGATCGACTATTTCTGTTTCAGGAGAAATATCTGTTACCATTATCGGCATAAAATCAATATTGATATCGTTCCGGATCGGCGTTTAACCCGAATTGACAAAGTTGTATGTAGAGTATGTGGGACCTCAAATCAGCAGGTGTTCGTCCCACAACCAGCTGAAAGAGTTTGACAATGTTCACCAACTACTCCGCGGTCAACGATGTGGGTGTCCCACGCGAGGAATTCTAGGGAGCTTAGTCTGGCCAAATTAGTGATTATTTGTACTGATAGAGTTGAAGAAATTTATGGAACATAAAACTCAAGAGCGGGGTTGAGGCGTTTAGTACATACATCCTACACATGCCAAAGCATCCAGATCTCCCCCACCCCCATCGAGTAGATAGCAATATCCCCCACAGCTTTTCCTACATACCGCAGTATACGTATACGTCGCCGACCACTGCGGAAGAAGTTACACCGCAGCCGTTCCGAGAAATTAGATCAGTAAGTTCTTTATACCTTAGGCATAATATTAACGATAATTCAGCTGAGGAGATAGTCGTACTATACTTCACTACTCAGAGGCTGGGAAATAAAGATATATTTACACATGCATGATGTTTATGGTGTCTGTTTAATTCTTCGATTTTCCACTGTATGCGATAGGTCTTTTTTGTTATTGTTAGGAGGTCCTATCGTTTGAGTATCTCCAACAAAAGCATGCGCAACACAACAGTAGTAATAGTATGTGCGCACCACACCGCCTCCTTGACTGATACATACAGCGCCAAAGGATCAGATTGGGCAGTCTGAGGGCCAACTGCAACACATGCGGTAGAGAGTGTGTTCTGTAGAAGAATAACAGAGGGCGCTGTTATCCGTCTCCAACGAGGCCCAGCAACGACTGTCTATGGGTGGACCATCTTATCCAGAAGAGTCCCCTCTTCCGTTTGCTTTTAAGCAGTGCTTTTCTGGAGACGAAGCCCCACCACTATCGGTTCTTTCCAACCTGATTTCTTTTTTTCCAACCATTTCTTACATGCATAACGATGTAGGTTCACCCTCCTCTTGAATCAATAGGACAATCTTTCACAGCATGACAGTCTACCAAAAAGGTATGAGTTACCGGAGAAGCGTCGTTTCTTTTTTTCTTGTCTCGTCGGTCCTGAATTCCCCTCTTGTGTGTAGTTAGGTACATGTAGTCTCGCGGATAACTTCGTAGTCCATGAGATGCATACATATTATTACAGGAAACGGCCATCGTCACGATTGGGAGCATTTGTCTGCATCGGCATCGACTTTGGTACCAGCAGAGTAGGTATTTATGATGGTGAAATCAAAACTTATCGTATGCGACGATGATCTTTATGTGCACTAGTTAGCTTAATTAATAGAGGAGGGGTATGATGTAGGTACAATACAATACATACATACTTGTTTCACCAGGTAGATCCTTCAGATGCGATCAGTATCTACATGTATCGTGCAGCATCTTTGTTTTTGTAAGGTACATCCAGAAAGCGAACATTTTCGGCAGCGATTTCAACTCTCAAGAACCGAGAATTCACAACGCGGCTCGTTCATTCAAGCCAGCCGCGGTTGAGGAGCGTTTTTTGAAAGTAGTGATGGTCGCCGACGTACCAACCCTGGACATGAGGCCGTCATTTCATCCTACAGTTCCCCGGAACCTAGAACGGTTTCGCGTTCTAGTATGTATCTTAGGTCCAGACAGCCGTTGGGTCTTGGGATAGAGAATTTCGCCCTATTATCAAAAGTCCACTGATAATTCCTGCATGAAGGTATCTTGTGGCTCAGAAGAACAGGATTGTTCAAGTTATTTAACCGATACTCGGAGTGAAGCTGATAATCCGGTGGGATGGTCTTCTATCAACCAGAGAAGAAAAGCTCCTCGAAGATCGACAGCCGAATTCTTTGTATTCATGCACTTCAAATCCATGGGGTTTTCGCTGCTGAGAAGCTTTCAATTGAAACAATGCCAGGAGTTTTTGCTTTTCCCCGATCTCTTGGACATTTCTTTCGAAACATTTTGGCCATGCGGTATAGGTGCATCGAGAACACGTTTTGCTCACGTCTCTGCCAAACCGGACCAGTCCGAAAAGCACGTTGCAAACCCTGTTAATAGCCAAACCCTTGGCGTGTTTCGGCAAGTCTTGAAAATTAGTGGGCCCAACAAGATCCACTCGGTAAAGGTGTTCCCGGTTTTGTTCTCATGCCCTACTCCTCAGAGCCAAGGCATGATTCCCTTCGACGGGGCGAAAGATCACTCGACGACAACTGCATTGCGTCGCTGGAAGCACCTATATGATTCTTCCTTATCTGCAAATTGGATTTGTGTATTCGAGGCAGCTTTCAGCGTTGCAAAGCCACTTGCGTAAATAAACATTCCTAACTGCCAACTCGATATTTGATACCTCAGGAAGTTTCTCAGGGTATACTTTCTTTTTAGACTATCGTCGCATCACATCTATTCAATTTTGAGTCGCACGAGCACGTGTTAGGGCCTGTCCATCACTCGCAGATTCGCTGGGATCTTTCCCCCAAAGCCATGCCTACCACGCTTAAGTGCCTTCTGTGCCTATTTACCGATGTAGGTACTTACTAGGTGGATATTTTAGGACCTTACTTTAAAGTAACATCCTAGGTTCACTTCTGCATAAACAACAGAGTAGGCTTTTTTCGTTTTATGCCTGGACCCTGGGCTGATTTGGCGGTTATCGGTTCATCCGGTATGAGAACTAGATGTGTGTATGCACATATCTCTAACAAGGGCACTCTACTTACGTGCTCTGTAACTTATGTATACTACCTTCACTGAAATAAGCATATAATATCAATTCAAATCATGGCGTCAGGATAAAGTTGACTATATAAACAGAGATGATCATCAGGGGAGATGGAACTTTGGGGGAGGGGGAGGGGGAGGGGGAGGGGGAGGGAGGGATATCCAAGCATGTGAGGGCGAGACGCATATAATAATTGAAAGGGAAATCGCAATCACAATCGTAATGCTATTTTGTTCGTATCAATATTGTCTATAATTATTCGAAACTCGTATGTATGTACCTACATACATACAGGCACTATGAAAGGTATGTAACGTACCTACGTATGTACATACATACATACCTGATTGGCCATGGGGTTTCCTCCGGATTGGCCCAGACGCGTCTCCAGCCACATATCCCCGAAATCGTGACTTTCTGAGTATGCGATGTCGATATCAAAACCTGGGTGGTGACCGCAGATGTTTCCTTTCAGTGGCCCATGGGGTATCCGAGAAGGAAGGAAAGACGCTGTGCGCTGCTTTCGAGACGAGACATGTACATACACACATATGTATAACAAAGTCTTGTTAAGTTATTATCTCTAACCAGACGATTGGCAGCCATGGAACTCTTTTAGATCTCCACGATCCAGTGGTCTGGTCGTGACACACTGCTCTTCGTCCAACCAGTCGACAATTTTGCTTTTTTCTCCAAATAATATCAGGGTCCCCACCCTCTAAAGCACCGGACAATGCTGGGAAGAAAATGAAAATACAAAAAGCCAGTGGACGATTGAACTTGTAAGGTACATTTAGGTAGACGTGGGTGGGGTATCGTTTTATGTGATACATGTTGTTTTGAAGATCGAGATGATTGTCCGTACCTATTTTGCCCTCCCCAACAACTACGAATAGCAACTAGTGCCCGTGTCTTCACACAGTAATAGCTGAGAGAGGACTTGACCCTGAGTCCCCAATGCAAATTTGCACGACACGGACTAAAAGCCAAATGAGACCGGTTTCTCTTTTATATACATGTAGTTCGCCAACTAATTATGAATGATCTTGGGAAGGATAAAGACCGCCTATGTGGTAATGAATATACTTCCTATATCAACTTATCTCCTGCCAAAACCTGAGGGCTCAAGTACAAACATGCACATGCAGAGAGAGTACCTACGGCTCGAAGGATTACATGTACTTGCGGTGGTATGGGAAGATCTAGATGCCCCAATACCCTCATGTACTTCGCAATTTGTACATGTATGCCTCGGAGGGTGGCAGCACAACACACATGTGCATAAGTACGTATATCTGTACTGTTTTTGAAAAACATCACCGTCACCAGTATCAAGAACTCACCTGGTATACGTAGAAATAATGTGAAGTACATGAGCTTAAAACTCTCTCTGACAAGAAAACACCTGTTAAGTAGGCAAGACATGTATCTAAGTAGGATCAAGTACGGTTATAATGTATGTACTCTAACTGAGGCCCCGCAGATTATACATAAATGGAGCTACATGTATATATATACATTAATAGAAGGGCGCACGCGTAGGTACTTGTACGTATACATGTACCTAGGTAGTGATGAACTCCATGTGCGCCACCCCTTAGACTACATGTACGATTAATACATGTAGATGTACATATATTTTAATGATGTATTTCCATACATCATAAGCCAGATCAGACGCCCCTTAGATTAAATTTATTCAGCAGCAACTAAAACACCTAACATGATCATCAAATGGTAAGTAGTACAGGCGCGCTATTTATTAACTATTCTTAAAACTTCTGGGGGGGAATAAGTAAAGGCATTGCTTTTCCCATTCACTCCGTCTTTCTTTTTTGTTTATCCATCAACTTTCCAGAACACTCTGATCACACTCTCCAAATTTGAAAGATCTCCGGAGTGTGACAGAGCTCAGTGCAGTGACCAACGTCTCGGTTCCGGGGTGGTGTTGAGTATTTGAAGCAGCCATCCGACCCTCTCCCTCTCCCTCTCCCTCTCCTGTGCGTGTCTCTCTATACAGGGTAGCCTTTGTCATCGCGGGCAAATATACTTACACTTACATTACATAGCATTTATTTGAATTACAGCAGCAGCCGACGAGAAGGACCAGCAGAAACATCGGAGCAGTTGCAGTCTTCGCACGTTACTCTGTTAGGCGGATCAGATAGGAGTGACTGCCTGCAAGGGTAGGTAATGTAGTACCCATTGCCACCCCCCCAGCCAGCTGCCACTAGCTGCTGCCACCCTCTCGCGGGGGGGCTGTTCCACATTTCTGAGCGAGCCTGTAGTAACCTTGCGGCAGCCAAGTGGAGAACTACTTCCACATCCTAGAGACAACAGACATATCATTCCGTACTTCCCACACACCACACTGAGCTGCTGCAACCGTTCGGTTGATTTGCCTCGTGGAACCTAGACCCTCCTCTCCACTCCAACTCCTCCTCGTCAAAAAAATCTCCCAGAACAAAAACTCCTACCAACCCCCTTCCCTTCGTTTTTCTTGCTCTTTGATCGACTCGGTCTTTCCGTCTAGAAACGAAACATTAAATAAACAAAACGAGGCCCAGAGTCGGCTTCAATCACCAACCAGCCTCTACCATCTCTACAGAAAAGCCGTTCAAGAAACTCCTCAGGCCTCCCCGAATTCAACTCTAACGAAAAGCGATTTCTACTCCCCTTCTCCCTTGCTCACCTTTGTCGCTCTTTCATTTTAGTCACTCGTTAAATCTCATCCTCCGAAATTATGGAGACAAGCAGCCTGCCCTGGGATCGACGGTCATCCGTTTCCACTGCTCAAACCCTACCTCCGTTGGCAAACATCACGGGCAAGCCATCGTCTGCAAACAGTCACTCACCTTCCCTCAGCCAGCAGTCTGGAGACCTTCGAGATTCCGGCAACTGGTCGATGGCCTCAACGAGAGTCAGCAATAGTAAAGCCCCCTCCCCCTCCCCCTCCCCCCGTTCTCTCTCTCTCTCTCTCTTTTTTTACATACTCCCGGAGCAGCTGTAATACTGTCTGGAGGTGGCCAAGCTAACTGAATCAAGTTTCCGAATCATTTTCACCACAATTGACACTCCCTCCAATTGATGCCCATGGCCCCTCGCGTCAACATTCACAGGAGAATAATGGCGCTCCTTCATTCAGTTACAACCACTCCCCGACCGGTAGCACCTTTACCGCCTCAAACACTAGTTTGCACCACACAACTCCCCCCGGTACAATGTCGCAAGATGGGGCACTCCCTACACCTTCGCCGTCTGCGTCGCGACGAAGTAGCTTCGATAGTCGACTAAGCAATCTTCAGCTTTCGTCTCCAATAAGCGGTACACCTGCAGCTAGCCAGGTCAGTTTGGCCAGTACTTTACAGCGCGAAAGAGGAATTCAAAGTAATTCCCCGGCACCGCACAGGATGGATAATGGGCCTTCAGATGGCACAAATGGAGTTCCCTACAGCAATCCCTACAACAGATACAGTGTAGTTAGCAACAGCGATTCGATTAATGGATATAATGGAAACTCACCAAAGACTGGTGGTGTAGCTCGAACTGCTCCTCCAATCGGCGCATCAAGGTTTTCTTACAACCAAGGCCAAGTCCCTCACCCAAACGCTCCATCGCCAACAAAGGGTTTCCCATATGCTTTCCCCGATCCTGACCTTGCGCCACCAGGCCGAACTACAAGTCGTGAGGGGATTGCCCCGGGAAGGATCAGTACTGGAAGTTTGCCTGGTTCTGCGGCGAGTAGCATCTATAGCTCAAACTCATTACGTCCTGGCCATCATTCCCATATGAGTACGGACAATAGCTCCACAGCTATCACATATTCCAACAACCAATATCAGGCAGGTATGAATGGCAACCATCACCACCACCATCATCTTCAGCAAGATCGGAAATCAAGCCTGGGTCCAAGTGAGGCTGGCTCCTTGACTGCTACGCCATATTCAAGGACGCCCGAATTGAGGGTTAGCCATAAGTTGGCGGAACGGAAGCGAAGAAAGGAAATGAAAGACTTGTTTGACGAATTGCGGGATCAGTTGCCTGCAGAAAGGGGTGGGAAAAGTAGCAAATGGGAGGTTCTAACAAAAGGTTTTATCCCATTAAATCTCAACCTCCGATATTTTCTAACAGATAATTCTAGCGATTGAATATATCAATCAATTAAAGCAAAACCAGGATAATATGGGTCGCACCATTGAGCAGCTCCAGCACGAAGTTGAAACACTCCGAAATGAAAACCACATGCGCCTCGAAATGCAGGAGAACCTTCGGATTGAATCGGCCCAAAATTTTCATCACCCATCACAGCCCAATGCGTACCATCCGCAAACTCACCATGCAGCACACAATAGCGTCAGTAATGGACCAGGGCGGATGCAAGGCATTGAACGATGCTAAAAAATATTTATATCATTTCTCAACTCATGTTAATGTTTTTCCTAATTCACCTGCTGCGAGAATCTGTTCTCGCGGATTGCAACCTAAATTTGCATGGCTTGGCGCGACTACTTTTCTTGCAACAATTCCTACTGTATTTCTGTCATGTATGTTGACGGTGGCCTGGATGTCCCTTCTTCAACGAGTTATCAACAATCGTGGTATTTCTTTTCCCGCTGGATATCTTTTGCTTTTCTTTTTGCGGGGGCGGTAGTTTGAAAAAAAATCTTTTTTTTTTTTTTTTGGTGGGGGGGTACGGCTTATTCTCAGGTTTGTGCTGTGGGCGGGACACGGTAATTTGACCGAATGCTCACTTCGATCATGTTTTGAGTAAATATCCCACACGATCTAGGTAATATCGGAGGACCAGGCAGGTTTTCGATATAGTGGCTCATCTTACGTCTTGCGATATTTCTCATTCAATTGACCGATCTTTTCTTACATGTTTTTCTTTTTGGATTTATCTATTCATCTTGTCTGAGTCGAGGGAGGTATCTTTTGAAACTATCTTATGGGACAGGGTGTGCAAAGGACAGGAAATGGGTCGATACGGATGGGTCATGGCGGCGGGTCACAGGTGTTCTTTTTCTTGGGAGGGCTTTTTCATCTTTTACTATCTTGTCTACTCATCTTTTTATATTTTTCTTTGTAAACCCTCATCATGGTTGTATTTACTCTATAGGCCTATTCTCACGGGCTGAATAGTGTGTTGAAATCTATCGAAATGGATTTCGTATTAATTATCGAAAAACGAATGGCATAGGTTTCTGCATTTCTGATTGACTGGCCGAGTAATTGATTGATTGATTGATTGATTGGCACTCGATTCCCGTGGCCGCACCAGCTAGCCGGCGAATCCTTTGCAGCAATACCGTGGGAAGCAAATATTGGGCCAAATGACATCACACTGTATCACTCGTATGTCCAAGATTCACGAATTGCTATTCCAAATTAATCTGTTTTAGGATAAGATTTACGCAGGGCCTGGCTTAGCACTAGGAGATCTACTCTACCTAGGCTCGGCTTGGGTTCATGTAGCGACGTCCCGGGTACTGCGACTACTCTAGTAGGCATGTACGTAACTACGGGTACTACCTGAAATCAGGCTTTATTACTTATAGAACGAAGTATATACCTCTTTGCGCATTCTTATATGTCGCAATATTGTTATTGTGTAATCCGTCCATCTTTAAAATCCCATACAGTATTTATACAGATAACTATATGGGAAAACAGGGTGATATTACCGATATTACTGCAGTACAGGAGTTTAGTGGTGGAGGATACCATATCTGTAGATCAAATGAGCATATATATAATTATAAGGGAAAAAACGGCTTCTGTTTATGTACTTATATACTATACGAAGATCGATCGTGTTCAATCGAGCAATGCCTATATAACGAACGTCGGCTCCAATGTCCCTTTTTTTCATTGTACAAGTATTTTACGTGCGATTGGTATTCAGTATAAAGTACCTACGTAGAAACATCAGTGTAACTGGGTGGCCACATATGGGCGTACTAAATATATATGTAGTAAACATTCCACAGCATTTTGTAGACATGCACGGGCATGAATAAAAGAATACATACATAATCCAATCAGCCGTAGATCTAGTACTCAATACATAAAAGTGTTAAGAGCAGCTTGCGGGTTGACTGTTTGTGTCCACTGCAATGGGTCGTTTCTTAATTACGCGTAGTACTGTGTTCAGACAAAGGATTCGGCCTAACAAAGGACCAACAAGCAGCCGTTCGTAGACCAGTAAGAGCAACAAACGTACAACAGAGCGTAAAAGAAGCACATAGGCTGGATCATAGCAAAAGGACCATGTCTGCAGATAACGAAACGTAAATAAACAGGCATTTCGCACGTGTCATGTGGCCAATTAACATATAATGTGGCCTGAGTCATCTCCTATATATTTCTCATATTATACAAAAGAAAAACTTTGCAAATGGCGAGAGTTAATTGGACCGGGCTCGCACATGCAGGATAAAGAACCTCGACAATCCACCACTAAAATTAAAACCTCCCCGGGATTCTCATGTACTATAATCTGGCCAAGCTTACTAGACATCTCTATATAAATGAGGTGTCGAGTATTTTTTTTTTATGTACAAGGCTCTAGTGGCATTAAGTGAGCAAACTAAATGGGGTGTTGACAGGTGAGGATCCGTTCACTCACTAAATGCCAGAGCCTTGTATGTATATGCATTATAGCCTATCTACTCTCTGTATATAGTTCATGACCTGTTTTTTTCTTTTTTCTTTGTCAATGATTAATCGATTGCTCTCGTTGTGGCATAAGAATGCCTCTCTGGCTTTATGCTGGATTTATATATCGTACATGCAGATGATGGGCGGGATTTATATCTAGCATGGAATTCTATATTACTATCCGACTAAACAATTAGATCTCTAAACGTCCTTCATTAAACCCCTAAGTATCTACATGCACACCGTGCACCGTGCACCATGTACCATAGATCTGGTGGAGTACGAATATAAAGCGCGATCGAGGGTCCATAACGTCAACAAGCAATGCAATCCAAGACATACGTTCATGGTGACTTAGTTATAACTAAGAATACTATAGCGCGCGGCCAGTGACTCAATTATTTATATATACTCTGTATATATATAATACCAAAAAATGGTATGGATTCGCTACTAATGATGGGCACGAGACTAAGTCTCGAGACCTGACGAGACGACCTTGGGATAAGACGAGATGTCTCGAGAGTTTTTCTCCAAATCTCGAGATAAGTCTCGAGACTTCCGAGTGATGTTAAATGATCCAAATCAAGGGCTCTTCCTAATATTTAGACTTCTTCGTGATCAGATTTCCCCATATACAGGCTTCTGAAAATCGGGTGTGCATTTTGGACCCGAATTCTATCCACAATTTATTGCCAAGAATTTCTGATCCCTGTTCAAAAGTTCAAATCCGGATTGAGTTTAGCTTATAACAGTCTCGAGACTTACCTCAGGTCTCGAGACTTCCAAGACTATGGTGGGGCGAGACAAGACAAGACGAGACTTGGTGCAAAATGGTCTCGTCTTGCCTCGTGCCCATCATTATTCGCTACGTTATTCCCGTTAATGCGCTAGCTATAGTAATGCAGCAAGAATACGGCATTACTATATTCTTTTTGTAATGCCGGTTTGATTCCTTATTATTCACTAAATCCCGTAGTCATACAGTACTGATTTCACCCACTGTATATACATATATAGGTATATATTCGAATTCTCTTTCAAGCTTTAATTTATATGATTACGTATCCACCCCCTATAGTATACCACAAATCAACAAAGAATGTAATAATAATTACAGGTCCAATTAGAACAGAGAAGTTCTATTTCGAGCCGATTAAGAGAGCATAACAATATTTCGGGACATTGTAATTGGACTTCTAACTCACATGATAGGGGAATACTGCGATATCGATGGATTGTGCTAAATCTGTACACGCTTTAATTTGCCATGTATATGTGCCACCTACTATTATCGATTTCCCTGATCGTGGAGTTCATGAATTCATGGATCTCATCCTAAAGCCGAGTAATATGAGTTTAATGCGGTATGATACTGCTCTATGCCACCCATGCATGAATCAGGCCATTAATTGAAGGTACACGAGGCACTAGAGGTAAGGCGAAAAGATCTAGAGCGTATCGACTGACTTCTGCCTCGAGGTACGTGAGGAGGCTGTGGTTTATCGAAATGTTTCGATCTTGTTGGGGTATGTATGCTTCGGGCTACCCCTCGATGCGTATATACCGACCTCATGGATTACATGACTGATCCGGTCTTATTTATGGATATATACACAGAATTTTTAATGGACCACAACGCATCTAAAATTAACTCAGACCATGCCAATATTGCAATAGAAGAAATGGCTTCTGGGTATGAAATCTCAGCATGAACTCTTGTATTGGTATTGGCAGGTTGATAGATTTTCCCGCTTGTTGAATGATCGATTAAATTAACCCCACCTTCGCTTTGTGACGAGATTTGTGCACTTCAAATCGCCAGGATTGTGTGGTGGCATTTCAGTGACCTATAATTTTTAACATACATAAATGCTAGGGGCATATCAATAAACGAAGTTACGTTCTGGGCTTAGTACTCAAGAATATTGAGACCGCTGTTATATATTTCTGAGTGGTCCATATAATGATCAGCTGTTGATCTGGAACCCATTATATATACATGTATACCACGAATGTTTTTAGATAGACCCTAGGCCTGGTATATAAACACCCAGTGCACTTGAAATTAATTACCTACGTCATGTTCAAATATTTAAAACTCAACACTTTACGTGTCGATCGCGAGCCCAATTAAAATTAATCCCATGGGGTCGGACCTAATTAAACCACTTTGCGCTTAATTAATATGAGACTAGAATTTCTAGTCATTAAAGCATCGAGCAGGAACCTCGACACAGCCTGAGACTTACATCTTTTTACCCACCCCTAGTACAGTACCTAGGCTTCGGGAAAAGGTACTTGTTGGCTTAAGCTTAAGCACTTAAAGATTGAGTATCATGATGGGTCGATATTTCGGGATTAGGGCAATATTTTATAAATAGACCCAAGGTATATATATCGATAACTTGGAATTTCGAGATCATCACTTCCGTGAAGTTTGTGGATTTGATATCAGTGCTTAGTGTTCAGACATTTGCAAAGCTACCAAAATCTAAGGCCGGCGGGGGTTCAATTGATTCTAAGTACGACCAAATTTATCTCTGAAGGTGAGATTTCTTGATATGGGATATGTTCATCAATGAGCTGACGAGGGCTGCAAGAGGAGCAAGAGCAAGTGTTAGTTCAAACGCTAGTGCCAAGAACCATCCAAATACATAAGCAGTTCAAGTCTTGGCATAGTTACTGTTTGTGGGAATGTTGACCTTATAACCCTAACCCACATCGAGTGATGACACATGAATACATATATGGTGCGCCCACTCTTAAAGGTAGCGAATCGCGACGAAATGTCAATGGCTGATAACTTTGCAACGAAAAATGGTAAAAAAAAAAGCGTAATGATAGAACTCTAGTACTAGTGATGAAGTTTAGTTCTATCATTGCAGATTCTTGATATCTGTCTGGGTTGTAAAGTTATCAGAGGTTGAAATTGTGTATTTTTGTATGTAAAAAGCGCCAAGACTGAGCAAAGTAAAACAGTATTATACCCATTTATACCCCCTCAAAAGTGAATTGCGGCAGGAATACAGCAAAGTGGCTAGGAATAAGCCTTCTCATTGGCCTTGGAGTTCACCTTGCAGCCACAATTGTTCCACTTCCAGATACCGCCGTGTCACCTTTAAGAATGTGCACACCATACATACATATCCATATTATAGTCACTCAATATTACTATAATTTTACGGTGCGCGGTTTCACTATTACCATTATAAGTTTATAAGTAATATTGAGGGCTGACGGCCTATCCTACTATGGCTATTACTACCCACTTGAGTATCCGATAACTGGTAACGAGCGGCCGGAGAATTATAACACAGTTTACACCACTATATATATGCGTAGCATAAACATCCACAAAAATATACGCCGTCAAGCCACTTATATTATAATTACCAATACTGGCAAAGCACAGCGAGGTTATTAAGCTTGCCTTTTGATGGAAGCCCCGCGGCCGTTGCATTAACTGCTGCTTCGAGCGAGGTCCGACGACTCTTTTTGTTGATGAACTCTTAAAGGTACAAAGTTGGCTCATGCATTATAATGTAGTCAGTGGTTTACTAAGTTTTTATATATGATATATCTAATAAGTACTAGTATACTATATAATTATAACCTGTATGTATGTGTGTATTCTTTAAAGTCTTTGATTGGTTGATTCTGGGGGTGGGGGGGCCGGTTGGACGATATATTTGAGCGAATGGAGACACTCGTAGCTATGCCTAGGAAAGACAAGGGACTTAACCTAATCATGAAAAAATGCACAGCCTTCGACCATCTCATGTGATAGAGAACCATTTTTCCGGGGGGCCAAAAAGCGAGAGAAAAAAGATGGCTACATACATAGTCCTAATAAATTCTTGATTTGAGTTACGTCAATCTCTCATAATTACCAGTCGTCAGACTCCTGACGGTTTGCGATGTCTTATTGTCCCATATATGGAAAGGTCAATAGTTGATAGTCTAAGGAACAAAGGCTAAGTACCATAAGGTTTATGTTTAGAATAAAGCTATAAGAGTACGTAGCGTATATATATGGAATGAAATTATATATATAGTTAGTCCATGGCCAGCTTGCTTCACTCGTACATGTAACCAGGCGACTCATCAGCCTTGGTCTGGCCTACGCCTTATAATCGCCCGACTAATGTATTATTATAGACTGTAAAGGTAATTGCCACTGGGCCAGAAAGATATATATTTCTAATATTTAACTTGAGAGATATTGATATTAACATAAGTCGAGCTCAATATATCTATATACATTTATAAGTACAGGTGGACGCTGGCCTTCGGTCAGGTTTTAAATTTTATATCTAGGTACATGATCAGTATTTTAAATGAACCCTAGGCCTACAATGCTTTTCTAAGCATACATCATTAGTAAATACATTAATATGTAGTACTATAGTGTGATCCAAAGATAACCATTTAAATTTAATATATATGAAGGTATATCTATAGATCTATCGGGTCCCATAATTATCTTATTTAGACAGCAGCAGAAAATAATCTCCTGTCACTACCGGCCTTTACCTTTCTGTCTCGGGACTGACAGTACTTTATGGTTCGGAAACAACTAATTTACTGTATTCTCAAATTATGTATCATACAAAAAGATTATTTCAGCTCAATACTTAGTTGCATGCAAGAGTCACGTAAACCCTAGCCAATGAAAGTAGTTCTGACTTGACAATAATATTCAAATGTACCCAGTAATGACTATCTTTGATCTTAACCTATTAAAAAAAGCGTCAATATATACTCACGCGTTAATTAAGTCCTGAGAAATTTTTGTGAGGTCTGTGCTACCAAGAATTCTCAGGACTTAATTAAGTAATGCGCGAGTATAGAGTACCGCCTCCAAAAATTGAAATCATAATTAAAATAAAAAATAAAAAAAAAGGCGCGAGATAGAAAATATAATAGAAACAGAATTAAAAACCTCGCTGAATATCTATAAAAATTCCCCAAACAGAAAGAAAACACTCTAAACTACATGTAAATAGGTATCGTTTTCCTTTCGTCATAAATCATCACTCGGCAAGCTCATGGACTACACCCTTTTGGCACAACTACTCTTCCCTTCACATCCTCTTCTGCGCATTCCCAAATGACCTCTTTAACACCTTTGAAAACCTTCTCCACCGCATCTACCGCCCAAATGACATCGAGATGTTCGTATTCCTCAATAACGGATCTGTGAACAAGCCTCACATCCGGCTCCTTACCCTTATCAAATCTCCGCAGCAGCCTCGCTCCATCAACAAGGTCATCACTGCCCGCTATCCAAAGTGCGATTGGAGGGCAGCGCGAATCATACCACGCACCGCCCCCGACTGAGGACGATGATGAAGAAGCAGAGGGCGCTGGAGAGTGTTCGTCCCCTCCATCGTCGTTAGGTCTTTCCCCGTTTGCAAGGGCGGATTGATGCTTCTGTTCTTCTTCTGCTTCTTCAAGAGCAGCTTCTTCTTCTTCTTCAGTGTGAGTAGAGAGAATACACCTGTGGCGAGCAAATCCGCCCAACCACCAGCGAAGTGTCTCAGACGAGACATAAACAGGCGCAAATTGGAAGAAACGGCTACGAAGCCCACGGTCCCAGAGTCGATCACTCCAGCCAAACAGGAACCAAAATACACGATAGCCAAGAGCGCCGTAGATGCTCGCGGGAACGGTGGAGTGCATCGTCAACATGAACGGAATGAATGCATGTATCCCAAAAACTATGCGGAACATACTTGGCGGGATGATCTTCATGAACTTGAAGTAGAACTTGTCAATAAGTGGGCCTGCGTAGACCGCAGGGGCGAGAGCACAGAATACAGTTATCTTTTCGCCGATATCGGGACGTTGTTGCTTGGCAAGAGCTACAAAGGTTTGTGTTGTTCCCTGCGAGTGGCAGACGAGGCCTAGCTTCTTGAAGTGCGTACGGGCTAGAATATGATCGATGAATGCAGGGAGGTCAAGAATGCCCATTTGCCTAATATTCCATGCCCACATACGGGGGTCGCTATATTTCAAGACAGTATGTGATGGTTTGAAACCGCAACGGTTGTTACCAAGCCAGACATCATAACCACTGGGAGAAACGAGTGAGTAAGAATGCAATATTGGAGAGGTTTGATGGAAAGAGCAGACCTTTTACATAAGTAAAATGCCAAACTATCTTCATCATTAACACAAAATGATCCTGAGCTCTGCAAAAGTCCATGCATAAGCAACACTGGATACTTCTTTCTCCCTACCCTTGCACCGCCCTCGCCGACCTCGCCAGGATAATACGGTGGATCATCGGGGTCAAATATGTGTTGCAGGTTAATAAGAAAACCATCCTCTGTTTCTACCTGGAACTCTTCAAGCTCGAGTCCAACTCTTCTAGCATAGTATCCGACATCACATAACAGCTTATCCTTGCCGCCTGTACGCTGTCTATTCATTGCTCCTCTCCCGCCGATCTCAGCCTCGCCAAGGGTGTCTAGTGAGTTTTTCTTCTGGCTCCTCCACACCGCTTCTTCAAGCCGCCGTTTCTCGGCGCGTTCCTTTTCAATTTCGTTGAATGGGCGTGATGCGTCCGGATCTACTCCCTTTAAATTTTTGATTGCGTTTGATACAAAGACTGGTATTGACTTTGCGATAGACCCTGCCACAATCACACCAAGAAAAGACAGTGATAAAGCGCCGCTCGTAACGCGAAAAAACATACACTGCAATCTTCTCAGCGGCGTAGCAGGTCCGTAAACCGGCAAAGGTGGAAACAATGGATTGGTTGATGCTGGCGCACGTTCTATATTCGTATGTGTTTCATCTTCCTCCCCACTTATGCCAGCTGTTCGTTTGATTTTACCTTTCGCCGCGTCAATAACCACGTGCGGAGACGTCTCGTCCCTACGTGGCGAACTCGATAATAACCCATGCTTCCCTTCCTGCTCTTCTTCTTTCTTTGATCTCAGAGCGTTGAGCTTGCGCGCCTCGCACAGGGGGACTCCCGGGAGCCTGTGACGGTCCTCGGTCTCTATCACGGTATCGTTTGGGGTGATCTCGATTGCCCTGTACGCGGAACCTTCGTTTTCGCCCACGCCGAGAGAAACGGATTTGCCTTTAAGTGAATCATCGTCAGAACTCGAGATGAAGGAAGAGGTAGATGTGACGGAGGAGGGCGACATGATTCAGTTGTTTAGGGAGATCAGTGTCGTGTGTGGGTACGAGTTTATATAAGAGGGAGCAAAAAACAGTACACAACAAACGGCAGCCGCGCCGTTGAGGGTCCTCCTGAGACAGGGAGGCAGGAAGGAGATGCTCTGAGTCGCTGTCGCTAACTAAGTAGGGGGTGGGGGGGATGGCACATGATGTCAGCGGCTGAAGGAGCTACGTGCCAACCTGATTGCTTGTCTTTGGGGGCAGGCATGTGAAATCCAATGCACCCTGTCAATCGAGGGACGGGAATATCGTTGGTGGTTAGTAACTGATCGCAGACATGAGAAAAATTCTTCTGCTTTGAACGGATCGTTATTGTTGAATCTTATTCGTCTAAAAGCGCTGCCGATGTGTTTGTAAAGACGTAATGTAGTGTGGGCGATTGAAGGATAAACTCGCCATATGGTTGCAGCGAACGTGGAGGAGTCCAGGAGCAGCTCCAAGGGGTCACATCTATCGATTCAGTCCTCTAAGAACTCTATCCAACAGCGCGAGAAAGCTCCACGTCAGGCTTCTTCTTAAAATCGCTGATATATCAGCTATCAAGCTAAGGTTACATGATCACGTTCGGCTGCCCAATCAACAGCTACATGTCGAGCACTCTTCAATACATGGACCACCTGTACCAGGGATGCTTTTGGGAATTTTGGCGCCCAATACCGCAACACTACATGTGCAATACCTATATATTTATCGAGTTCCATTTAAAGATTTGTCTTTGTTTATTATTGAACGTATTTAAAAGGTTTCAAGTGGGCTTCCCAGTGTGAATGTCGTCCTCACCTTACTGCCTATTCCAGTCTTACTAGTTAAGACCTTGCCTTGAAAGCACATAAAACATGCACGCATGCAGCCAAAGGTCGCACAACAGATCAGTAGGTAGAGTACTCTACAGAGGTGTTGCCCAAGGAGATAATGTACAGAGATCTTATCAACCACGGGTGATTATTACGGAGAGTTCCGTGTTCGGATAAGAATTGTACGACCCTAGCACTCCTTCATGATCGGTCACTCGAGGGCCGGCACATGAGGGGAGGGCTAACTACATGTAAGTACATGTAGATTTATCGGGGTCGCTTGGAGGAGGAAATAAAAATGACTTCCGCAAAGCACGGCTTCCTGGCACCGAGTCATATGCGATATCATCAGACACCTTAGGTAAAGGGGCCAAACTCATTACCAAGCGGCTGCCTGTAGATGTCCACAAAAAGCTTGAACGCGTCCTGACTCGTGATGCGTCTTGAGTAACGTACTACGAAGTATGCAGGCAATTTGTGGCACATCAGGGACAAGTGTGGCTGGTATAGGGTTGACCGTATGTTGCCCTAGCAGACAGTCCCGTCTTGGCGCCACGCACACAATGGCCTGCAATACTCTGGCGCATACACACACATCGAAATTCTCAGGACCTACAGCAACAAAATAAACGACAACCCCCCGCCGACGAACCCCCCCAGCGCACCGACTTCTCCGCCATACTACGGCCGTAACAAACTAAAGTCGCCGCAATCATGAAGTTGAATATCGTGAGTTTCCCAGGTCGTTCTTTTGAGTTCTAGCTGTTCTGGACGTAATTTCTGTCATTATCATATAATTGGATGACAGCCCACTAACGATAAGCTTTTATAACTAGGCGTAAGTCCTCTACCCTGGTCAACTTAATCTTTTTCAATTACAACTCCTTCCCCGAGCATAAAGAATGAAAGGTTGGGATAAGATGGGAGAGCTGGAAAGGAATGGATGGGGGAGGGAGCGGAGGGGGACGGGAGCTCAAAGCACAGAAAGCGAAGAATCAGGGACTGACTCGAAACCTCAACAATAGCTACCCCGCCCAGGGCACTCAGAAGTTGATTGAGATTGAAGATGAGCGTCTTCTCCGCGTTTTCATGGAGAAGCGTATGGGTCAGGAAGTTCCCGGTGACAGCGTCGGTCCCGAATTCGCTGGATACATCTTCAAGATCACCGGTGGAAACGACAAGCAGGGTTTCCCCATGAAGCAGGGTGTTATGCACCCTACTCGTGTTCGTCTTCTTCTTTCTGCCGGCCACTCTTGCTACCGCCCAAGAAGGACCGGTGAGAGGAAGAGAAAGTCCGTTAGAGGATGTATCGTCGGAATGGACTTGGCCGTCTTGTCTCTGGTCGTCGTCAAGCAAGGTGAGGCCGACATTGCCGGTCTTACCGATATCACCCACCCCAAGCGTCTCGGACCCAAGAGGGCCACCAAGATTAGGAGGTTCTTCGGTTTGTCCAAGGATGACGATGTATGCTCTTTCCTCCGCCATTTGTTCGCCTTTTTATATATTGGATGCGGGCATAAGATATTTCATCGTGGCCTTCTAACACATCTGCTTTGAATACAGCTCCGCAAATTCGTCATTCGTCGTGAGGTCCAGCCCAAGGGTGAAGGAAAGAAGGCCTACACCAAGGCCCCCAAAATCCAGAGGCTCATCACTCCTCAGCGTCTCCAGCACAAGCGTCACAGGATCGCTCTCAAGAAGAGGAGGTCAGAGGCTTCTAAGGAGGCTGCTGTACGTCCCCCCCCCAAAAAAAAAAAAATTCTGGGCCTAACACCAAACTAATATAAAACAGGCCGAGTACAACAACCTTCTTGCCAAGCGCCTTAACGAGGAGAAGTCCAAGCGTTCTGAGGTTCGCAAGCGCCGTGCTTCATCAATGAGGACTGGTGCCGCCAAGACCTCCGCTTAAATTCCTCAAATGCAAATAGAAAAATATTAAAACAAAAAAAGTTTGTAATTTCTTTTTCCGGTCATGTCGCTAGGGATCAGGTGTGGTCGGGCTGGGAAGCGTTGGGAGCAAAACTGTGATGAATTTGAAGAATAAAAATAAATTCTTTTTTGTTCCTCTTTTGTGTATAAAAACATCACCGGAAAACCACACCCCTTGATATCCCCCCACGACTGACCTGACAAGACAATATACAAAATTCAGGCTTTTTTTATCCTTTCTTTTCTATCTTTTTATTCTGGCTATGGTTTGTGGCTGGTGGTGCGGTATGGGATTGATATTATTATGGATTGGGGTGTTCAAAATTTGTAGATTCTGCTCAATTAAGTTGGCGTGTTTTTGTTTTTCAGATTGATGATCTCATGTGAGTACAATTGAACATCCTTCTCCATACGGTCTCGGATCTCGACAGAAAAGCTTCTACGTTCTTATATCTACATGCATTTACTTGCCAGGGAAATAAGTTTCAAAAGCTGCGGCGGAAACTTACTCTCATAGCAAGTAATTAATTATCAAACAGTATGACTTCGACCTCTGCCTCCGAGTGATCGCCTGTGACGAAGCAGTCCAACTGCGATTGGATGTACTTGGCGTACGTATACAGACATACACAGAGATCGTGAGTCAAACTTTCGATCATGGGTTTCTCTGTAGGTGGCAAAACCAACACCAGCTTCACGGTGGTGATGTGGCTACTTGTATGTTATGAGTATATAGGTACAGCCATTCAGCAAAAGTGTTCGTGATTTAGTTTTAATGTTAGTGCGCAGTGTGGCGCATGACCCATGACGTTGATGTTATTAATGTAGAGATTTAAAACAACGAAAAATATATAATATAGTTCGTGACTATATATAAAAGAAGATAGGTCATTGATCTTATTATTCATTGATTCCGGGCTCCATTGGTCACTGGGAAGGTTTTCTCTTGGGGGGTTTTTAATGGTCCGCCAGAGTTACATATATAGAGAAATGTCTCACTCCGAAATCGGAATCACGAATACTTTTATAGAGTGGCTGTACATACATGTATGTATTACTTTAGGGCCCGTTCGGCAAACATGCTGTTTGGGAATTTTAGCGTTGTAAGATTACAACCGAATATGCTATAGTCGAAATCTGGTGATTTCCAGAATTTTGTGTCATGTTCGGCAAACCAAGAGGTCAGGGTGATGGGACACTTTTTGCGTTGATTGATTGATTGATTGATTGATTGATAATTCATTAATTGTGTGCAGCCCGGAGGCTATGACAAGACACATTTTGCGTTGAGTACAATGGTTGCAACGGAGATATCGCTATCGCAGTTCAAAAATTTGGGTCTGATCCAAATTTTGTAGATTGTGATATTGGGGCTTTTAACAGCTGTGAAATAGCACCGAAAGTGGTTGCTAGAACACTACCACAAGATATAATATAGCGAAAATTTTCAACCGAACGGGCCCTTATTTAAGTCAATATTACAAATAACATTGATTGTTATATGTATTTCTCTGGCAAATAGGAAAGCCTTTCATCATTATACGATGCAAAATATAATCCATGTGCGTGTTGTTCAATTAGGATGTAAGGTTTAGTATTAATTACAATTGGCTTAATTAGTGGAGTTAGCTAGACGCTAACGCCTGAGTATTATGTATACATGTAGTGACGAGGTTTAAATCACATGAGTTGCTACACTACATGTACATTGTATCACGCGGTTTGAATTTTCTTACTTAGATTTTTACGCATCAGCTTTTGTGACTGGGTATGAGCTTTGGGAGATGGCCTCGTTTGGGACCCCCCCCGCAACGTCAAGATGCGACCACACCGGGAGGATTTCGGTACATAGATGTATGTATACAATGCCACATTTACAGAGTACAGAGGGCCCGCCTGGCTATGAGTCCTGTGCCTACATCTTCAATATAGGGCCTCCCAAACAAGCAGAGGAGTATCAGCTGTACCATCGAAAGTGGTCACATCATAAAACTTTATGGAATACAAGATGTCTCTAGCAAACATATGCCTAGACACGTTTCAGGATCAATGGTATCTATCTAGTCTTGTACCCATCCCCTATCGTTCATCTGGGTATCGATGACACGTTATGATAGGATCACGTGGATGGTGGTCCTTTTATATGCAGAAAATGCACAGCTTGTGCACAAGACCACATTGTGACATTAAGCCGGATGCACCACTATAGCTATCGACGTGCATACATCACCCTTAATTGGTCTTGCGCTTCTGGCTTCTCTCATCTACTGGTATTTAAGGTAGGCCCGAAGGGCATTGGTTGTATGGCTGTCGCTGGAATGCTACTGCTCTATATCACTAGGAGCAAAGACAATACCGATTCTCCCTAGTTCTAAGCCTAAAGTTACAAAGGAATCTTCCCTTACCCAAACTGTAAGTACCATTTCTTATACATCATCTTCCAGCAGTCGTGCCGTCAAATTCACAGAAGATCACTCGGCATGGTTTCGCCTATAAAAAATCCCTTGGTATTGGTTTTTTGACCTATCTTTCTTTCAAAGGTATTGTTTTAAGGGAAATCAACCCCCACTCTTGAGTTCTGGCATAGTTATTGATATGTCTCAACCAGCGTCGATCCATCCGTGCACGAGCCTTCAGCTAAGGGACATCCGAATGTGTAACTTACAGACGCATATCATGTAGGAAGTATGTATACATATGGACATACCGCCCCAAAGTCTGCCCCCACTGTCGTTTTAGGATTTCCAACAATATGCACACTTATCTGCAACGGACCTTGGGCCTGTTAAGTCAATCTTTGCCAACATGGTGATTTCAATAAACCCCACTCTACTTGCCTTGAAAAGAAAACAAGGCAGAATAATTAGATTATGACCTGACAGCTGGAAGAATTCGGGTTGTTAGGCATCGAAACGTCTTGTCTCAAATAATGAGAATTAAACATCGAAGCGCTCTTTGGTGGATTAATCGGCATGAAAATAGTCACGAGTCTCTTGCATTGACACCCCACCGAGCCGTGGAAGCTACAACTGCTGTATACTTAGCGGCCTGAGGTTCAAGGATTCTCCCCTTAAATTATCATTTTTGTGTCAGGTTATTCAGCGGTGGGAAGTGTCAAGTGTTGTGTTACTGGTTAACTGGATCGTCTCAATAGCTTCTGTCCCCGAGCCGTGGGTACTCTATGTTTTATCTCCGCTATCCAACTTTCAATAAGAGTTTGTGTCAACGGCAGCTTATCCGATATGAAAAGTCTCAATGTTTTGATTATTATCGCCGACGTTTCGATGTGTTGTTTTGACCTCTGGATGTTTTGCACTGTTGTGGTTGGTTTGCCAAGACCCCCTTAAAGTGCACTATGATGGTTTGACACCTGTCATATCACAATTGACACTATGGCTAACTGTTCCCGGGTTAATTTTTAGGATATCATTTTTACCTATGGAATCATAATACATCTATTGGAAATGGGTTATGAGAAACCCTTCACGCCTTTAAGACACCGCGGCCCTCGAAACAATTTGAAGGATAAAGATTATCAGAGGGCGGAGTATACAGTTCCCATAGCATTTTTATACGGGACACGGTGACAAAAACCACAATATTCTGCGACAAAAATTCGATGGGAATGACGTCCGACATTACAGCTCGTTACAGTATCGTTTTTGCGTCTGTTCGATACAATCATTACAATCTGTTCGATCTGTGGAGAAACAACCCAACAACAGAACAACGCCTCCCAATGATTATACAGTCACCCGCTGTTGTAACGAACGCTCCCATACCGAATATTTGCTGTATCGAACCACTTGGGCTGGCCTTTTGCCCACCCCAGCAAAGAGTTTGGTCTGCTGTACCGAACAATCTGCTATACCGAGCGGAAAGGTGCTTGAATATGCACGTTCGTTATAGCGGCGGGCAACTGTAATCTAAAGCCAATCTTCATGGATACTCGGGGCAGGTGATGAATACCGGGTAATACAAGTTTTGCGTTTGAACTTTTTTATTGGAGTCTATCATCAAGCACCCGTGTGGATTAGCGAGAAAGGGACCCCGAATACATACGACAACTAATAAATTTATCACCTGTGTGTTTCGTTTAAAACAGATCAATTCGTCCCAATAGTTATCGAGAGAACCCTAGTTTTGATTGCTATTGGTGTCCAAAACTCCGACAAAAGACAGGGCATCCAAACGCTCGTGCTCTACGGCTTGGACCACCTTTCATCGTTATCTGGCAGAAGGGATTCACACTGAATGGATGATCGCCCGGAAATCCTACCATGTATGTAGCAAGACTGGCCAATTATCCGACGTCGATGCCCAGCCAGGCGCATTTAATATAGATGCACACAGTAAAACAACCAGGGTTATAGAAATTCCTCAACCCTAATAAGATCTACTTTTATAGAGTTATAATTCGTCCCCTAACCCCAATATGCCCACCCCTTTTCTAACGGTAGTTGGAGATAAAGTAGTTGTTTGCAATAAAAGAATAGCCGATACCCCTGGAATACGTATTTCAAGAAATGAGTGATATTCTATGATCTGGGTTTAATCGCTAATTCCCCGAGCTCGGGAAAGACGGGTGGCGATAGAACCTTCAGGAGATGGGAGTCCTTGTAACGTCAATTATCCAGGATAACTTGGATAGAAAACCTCCGTGACGCGTCGCAGAGGGCAACTTTCCACGATTATCCACGATTTTGTGACCGTGATTATTTCCTTTTAAATCATTTGCCAGCACTCGGAAACAGAAAGGCCCACATACAACATTCACTTATGCTATGAATATCATACATGTAGCTCAGAGTGGCAACAATTTCAAGAGCTCTAAGGTTATGCACAGGCTTGATGGTTGTCGACTCGAGCTAGCTGGAAATATGTGAGAGTAAAATTTGGACCAAGCCCACAACTGCAGCTACAGATTGAACTGCGCAGGAAAACATTCCTACATACCTCGATCCTAAGAGCTTCAAAGATCTACCTAAATTATCATACTAAGGGATCTTAGTTTCCAGATTCCACCATTCTCAGTGCCACCGATATCCTGATCTCACTTAACCATAAATACCTATCTACACACACGATGGTATATATATTCTTGCCCATATAATTCCGACCCGTGCTCCGAATTGCGCAATGACCCTGATAGCTGGAACTTGGAAGGATCGCTCGAGCCCCTCTATTAACGTATGTTGATCATCCCAATATTTTGGTTAAAGTTTTCTCTAGTACGGCCGACCTCTGAGCGTTAATTTGTGTGTTTAATCACTGGTACATGGCTCAACCAGTAGCAAATCTATCGTCTTGCGCATGAACACACTCTGCAAGAATTCCATACACTTAGCTAGCCAGTAAGGCGTATTCTTTCCGAGCCCACTATTGCTCAGGGAAGGAGAGAACGGACTGCATGTTTCCATCGAAAGAAAAGCCTTCGGTTTACACTATCAACGCCCCTCTCTTTTGAATATACACAAGTGTGCGATCAGACTTGCATAAAATATTACGTGCAATTATTTTTCTCTCAGAGCATGCCGTATTGCGTGGCTGTTGAAACATATGGGTGAAACACCTAGCAGATCTTGGATGGCGAAACCACAGAGACTCTGATAAACCAAAAATGACGAATCCAAGCGGACAGCGGTAAGCCACATTTGCCCGACTCACTCATTAACTCGCTCATACTCCACCACCGGTTTTCTCTCCGCCGCCGCCGTGCTCCATCCTTATGCGCAAAGAACGAAATGGAGTGTGCGCCGAACAAACCTTTACTGCAGTTTTCATTGGATGAAACAAACCTGCATAGGTAATCAGAGGTGTCTCAGACCTTCTTTCTCTTGGACGGAAATTGAGACCCTGACAAGACGAGACGTCAATGAAGCGTACCAAGTACCGGGTTGCTACTCGCTCGCACGTTATGTCTGTCTATCTGCCCGTCTATTCAGTTGACGTGTAGGTAGTAAAGGTAAGTGACCGAGGGCAATTCCCTGGACAGACACTCAAGGCCAGGTTAATCCGCTGGGTAGGCCCCCGAAGAAGTCGCAATTTACTGTGCTCCAGGCCGTTAAATGTTACGGTGGACTTCAGCTGCTCATGTATCCCGCCTAATACAGTTCTTGCCTTTTCTATCTTTACTACTAGTCCCAGGAAACCAACCAACATCCCGCTTTCTTCGCGAGATCCTAGCCACACGATGAAGATCACCAATATAAATCCATCCCCACTTTTTCAGAATTGGGTTTTCTGTGTTCTATGATATGAGGTTGATCCTCGTAACAAAAACAGAGAGCTGGGTATATCCATGGGCCTCAGGCTGGCATACCGTGTGACTGTTGACAGGCTACATCCGGCGCGGGGAGAAACCGGAGTTAGCTAACTAATGTCGAAGGCGTGAATATGACGAGCACAAAATAAACGGCAATAATTAGAAAAAGCATCTAGTTAAGCGAGATACGTGTGTGCTCATGTACGCATGCAAGATAGGGGGTTAATTATGGGACGAGATGGGACGAGGTTACTACATGTAGTGTTGAAGCCATCCAGCTAACCACTTTGTGCACTAGCTAGAGGTACAAGGGTCTTCGGGCAGAGTACCGGCACCATATCTGTACTACCAACACACAACAACTTCACGATAATTCCATACATGAGGTACTCTATCTACTAATGTCCAAGGTGCGGGGTACGTGAGAATAGTAGAGCTAGAGCTGTGTCTGGAGAGATCTCAGTGAATAGTAGAGTAACATATATGTGAGTGAACCCTTGTGATTGAAGCCTAGACTTCGCCATTCCTGGGGTACTTGATTGCAAGATCGGAATTATTACCAGTAGTAGCGAGCAACTGGCTCTACGAACGTTCTCGGAGACTTATTGCCCAATCACATCACTTTCTTACAAACAATACAAGGCGTCAGGGAGCGAGGTTAAAGCACTACAATCTACATGTATCTGCTCTATCTTTTGCCGAGTGCCGACCCTGCTAGATAGTACTCCAGAGTCCGCATTTCTCCATGCACATGCATATGTATACCTACTCTACTCTACTGTAACATGATATTTTCGATCCAACAGAAAAAAGAAAAGAGAGAAAGCCAGGCAGTAGATCAGGAGAGGAGGTAGAGTAGAGTAGCTGGACACTCTATTTACTGATCTGCTAGGATAAGACTTACCTACTGAATGATCTCTTCCAATGGAAAAGGCTAATAACTTTGCCGGGTTTTCCTGTACAGTCGTCCGCCGATATAACGAACGTGCATATTCCAAAGTTTTCCGTTCGATACAGCAGATTATTCGGTATAGCAGGCAAGTTTCTATGTGAAATTTAGATTCGGATCACAGAAACCCGTTCGTTATAGCAAATTTGTGGCTTTTTTGGCATTCGTTATATTGGCGAACGACTGTGCAACTTTCATGAGACCACTATCCGCCTGCTATTGGTCACGCCCACACGTCCTAACCGTACTGATTTATTTTGATTTCCAAATAATAAATAAAGGGCCTCGAATATATCCTACATACTGGGTTCTGTGGACTAAAGAAACTAAAGAACCATTTTTATCGCTCCCACCTTCCTCTCGTTTATACCTAGACACGCGCAGCAAACACGCACCTCCATCCATGGCCGTGGCAATCCCCAGATTCCGAGAAGCCGCGCCCAGAGAGCATCATTTGCATCCAAGCTGGCTGCTGGTCTGTCTGTAGGGAACCGTTCTATCGGAAACTCTTGTACCTCGAATCATATCACATTGATATCTAACTGCAACCACCACCCACAACACAATTGCTATCAATAATAAACAAGGCTTTGGGGGGTGAAATATTGGCTATCAAATTTAATAAATATAAAAGGGCATTCTCTGAAGTCAAATGTGGAAGAAGGTACATGAGCTAGAAGTAGAGAGACTTGGAGATTTGGGTCTTGGCGCATTTTTTGCAACTCAACGTAACAAAACCAACACAATTCATGCTGGAGGTATAATATTGTAATTTTCAACTGATAGAGCGATTATTCATATGCAAAATATATAGTCTTCCAATTCTCAGAAATAATTCATGACAATTGGTGGTCTAGGACCATGTTGAAAAGTGGCATTTTTGGTGTAAAATGGGTGCCTTCCCATGATTTACGACCAAGAACTATACATATATGTAATCACATATATAGGGTTCTTATTGCACTGGAAGAGGAAGAGCTAGGGGGGCCCAGATCTTTACGCCGCAGACCTGCAAGATGTAGCACCGGTAGTATGCAGGGCCTTGTCGACCTGAGTGACGGGTTCTCTGATGGTACGAGTGCTCGTCATTCGTTCCCACTTCTGGTGATCTGGATGAATGTGTTTCACGCCGGTGCAGCGCACGCTGTGCTGCAGGTAGGGTGGCCGAGGCTACTCTTTACTTTATCTTTCTGTTCTATGTATGGTGCTCTACTCTAGCCTCTACTCTACTCACTACATGTACTCACTACTGACTAGAGGGCTACTGGCCGGATGATCGTGAGTGAAACCTCGTGTTTATGTGTGTGTATAAATATGGTATCTGATAGTCCACCGTTGCGGTGCATGCACGCCCACGGGAATTGTAATACGAA